TACTTATTTTAACAGAGTTCTATAAATATTTTATTAAATCTGGGTTCTCTATTATGCTGTGAATCCTGGGAAGAAAGTTCCTACAGAAGTGAGGTTATTAGAAGCAAGAGCTACACCGGTCTAAACTGAAGACATACAAAGCATAAGATTTTTTTCCTGCTGCTCTTATTTCTGACTAATAAAGAAATATGGACAGGTTTTAATTTCATTTTTATATGGCTGTATTTGGAGTGGGTTTGCTTTCCATTGATCAGTTTTGAGACTGACTTATTATCCATCATTTTTCTATTTCACTTAGCTCTTCCAGGTCCTAGCAAATTAGGAGACTGAAATTTTAGTGCCGGGGGCTGCTTAGCAGAAGAGTTCTTGAATATTGAAACTCTGCATAAGTATGAGGAAGTAACTCATGACATCTGCACAAAAGGATTTGTTAGGAAAGTCTTTAGACAGCTAGAGGACCTATCTTACCTAACTGTAGGCATTAAAGAACAAATGTGGATTTTGGAATCCTAACATCACATTAAAGTGGAGATGAGCTCTCACAGTCTGTCATCTTGCTGAGGGTCTGAATTGCCTTTTAGCAGTTACTGAAATCTCACAGAGGGAGCAAAGGGTGAATAGGCTTCTGACTAGACTCCTAAGGTTTATAGGGATGAATTTTCATTTATATATGCTGCAAATTTGTGAGTTAAGAATGCAGTCATCCTGGCAGAGGTGGATGTCGCTGTGCTGAAGCCATCTCAGAGCAGGTCTCTGGCTTACTTGGGAATGTTCTGACAGGTTTGGTTGGTTTTGACACATGTATGTCACACATGACATTGCACATAGATCCAAGCTGTGAATCCAGAGGTGTTTAATGCTGGCTATCATTAGAAAGCCAAAGAAAGGGAAAAGTCCAGGTTTGAAATAGTCTCCTTTTGTCAGCATTACTCACTGCTTCCTACCCTGCTCAACAAAGTGGTTATTGTTTATTTCACTTCAATGATCCAAAATTTGAAAGCTTACAGGGGGTGGAGGCAAGGACAGGTAGCACAACAGGAATACAGAGAGATTATCTAAATAGCCAGGGATCAGGTTAGGAAAGCTAAAGCTCTGATAGAATTAAATTTGGTCTGGAACATCAAGGGCAATAAGAAAAGGTTCTATAGGTATGCTGGGGATAAAAAGAAGACCAGGGACAATATAGGCCCTCTCAAAAGAAAATGGGATACTGGTTACACAGAAGAGGGAGAAGGCTGAGGTGCTCAACAACTTTTTTTTGCCTCAGTCTTCACCAGCAAGTATTCCTGCCACACCCCCACAATTTGCAGAAGCAAAGCCAAGGACTGGCTCAATGAAGGACCATCTGTTGTAGGACAGGATCATTTCTGAGACCATCCAAGCAACCTGGAGATGTAAAAGTCCTTATGATTTGATAAGATGCATCTGAGGCTTCTGAGAGAACTGGCAGAGGAAGTGGCAAAGCCACTATCTGCATATTTCAGAAGTCCTTGCAGTCTGGTGAAGTCTCCATTGACTGCAAAAAAAGAAGAATTACTCATACTTTTGAAAAAGGAAATAAGGAAGGACTAAGAAATTACAGGCCAGTCACTCTCACCTCAGTGCCTGACAAGACCATGGAGCAGATCCTCCTTGAATCTATGTGTGTAGAAAATGAGGTGAATAGTGACAGCCAGCATGGCTTCACCAGGGACCTTATCAGGCTTGACAGGTGGGCCCGTGGGAACCTCATCAAGTTCAATAAGGCCAAGTGGAAGATGCTGCAGCTTGGATCAAGGCAATCCCAAGTACAAATAGAGGCTAGTCAGGGAAAGATTGAGAACATCCTGAGGAGGGCTTGAGTGTGCTGGTGAATGAGAACCTCACCTTGACCAGCTCACAGCTCGGAAAGCCAATTGTGTCCCCGGCTGCATCCAAGGCAGCATGGCCAGCAGGGTAAGAGAGGGGATTCTGTGCCTCTACTCTGCTCTGGTGAGACCCCACCTGCAGTGCTGCATCCAGCTCCACTGCCTCATACGTGACAAGGTCATGGATATGTTGAAGCAAATCCACAAGAGGGCAAGAAGGTGATCAGAGAGCTGGAGCACCTCTTATGAAGACAGGCTGAGAGAGCTGGCATTGTTCAGCCAGAAGAAAAGTTTCTAGGGAGACCTTACAGCAGCTTTTGAACTAAAGAGGACTGACAAGAAAGATGGAGAGGGACATTTTACAAGGGCATATAGTGATTGAACAAGGGGGTACAGCTTCAAACTGAAAGGTAGTAGGTTTAGATTAGACATTAGGAAGAAATTCTTAATTCTGAGGGTGGTGAGGCACAGGAACAGGTTTCTCAGAGAAGTTGTGGATGCCCGATCCTGGAAGTGTTCAAGGCCACGTTGGATGGGGCTCTGAGCAATCTGGTCTGGTGGAAATTGTGCTAGTTCATGGGAGAGGAGGTGGAACTAGATGATTTTTGAGGGTCCTTCCAACACAAACCATTTTATAATTCTCTGAAAAATGTATAAACATCTGATCTACTGTTTGTAGATACATAATTAAGCTTTGTAAGTTCAACAGGTTTGGAAGTTGAAAGTTTGGAAAATCCACGTTAAGCTCTTCCTCAGTCTGAGCTAAAGTCACCTTGCAACATCAAAGAAAGGTTATAAAAGGGCATGGCTCTAAACTGGCCATGTCTTTTATATATCCATTGGATCATATTTTATCTTTTTTTACATAGTAAATGTTTAGCAAAGGACCTGTGCATCAGGGACATCTGGACTGCATTTTTGTTTAGACAGTGGAAATATGAAAAAGCTGGTATAATTATCTACAGTTTATTTCTGGTGATACCTTGAAGAACTAAAATGTTTACTTGCAGATCTGCTTGAATGTTCACAATAAAAGCTCTCCCCCCAACACCAACCAACCAACCAATCAAATTAAAAAATTGGTTCCATAAATTGTCCTTGATTTAGAGCAGGTAGAAGCTCCTTTTCTGAAGACAAAATCTAATATTTTTTTGTTATACTTGCACACAGTTTGTTCAGTTTATTTAACTAAGAAGAAATTATTAGAAGGCAAACAGAGAATCATTCAATTCAGAAGGCTTATCCATGTATTACTGAACTACAGTCTTACTGAAACATACAGTGCCTGAAGGCCCTTTTTAGTAAGCTGGAAGTAAATATTACCAATAAATACTGGCTCCTGAATAATATACTTTCTTAAAGAAGTTCAAAGACATACTGTATTATAAACTGCAGTAATACCAATGTCACTTCAGTTACAAACATCTGTTCGGAACATTTTTTTAGTCAGCACAGCTTGTTTTAAAAGCAGAAATTTGAAGAAAACATCAAACTATAGCCATTACATAAGCTGAAAGCTTTTCACACCTCTGTGAGGTACAAGTTTATGCAAGCTTTCACAAATCAATAAACTTTAAATAAAAACCTGACACCATTTTGTGTGCAGAAACATTTCCAAAATTCACTCAGTGACAGGTATAAAGAAAATAATGTCCTTGGCTAAGAATGGGTCTTTTAATTGAGTATATAAATAAAGTATTTATTCAATCACTCCATGACTAAGATGTGATCTCTACTCAAAAATATTGTCATGGGCAATATTTTCAGAAAGCTTCTGGTAGAAGTAATAAAAATTTTCAAAACATCCCTGGCAAAAAATCTTATGAAGCCTATGGAATTTAAACCTTTCGAGGAAACATGCAAGATTAATCACTATCTTACTTCAATTTCTCTGGCAGAACTACAGAATAATTTTGGAGGACCCTGCAAAAGAACTTCTGCAAGGACAGAGATGCATATAAGTCATAGCCTGAGCTTATTTGTAATAGGAATTAAAGGAATAATAGGGTTTTTATCTCTGTTAAATGACATTCATATTCCTGGTATAATACTATGCCTTTTACAGCAATGACAGATGGATTCAGAGGGTTGAGGAGCAGCATTAAGCAATATTAAAATGTACATGTGTATATCTATTAAATTTACATTGATAATTCCTTTTTTGTGTCATTCTGAAATATTGCCACCATAATATTGAAACATGTATTATGGATTCTTTTTGCTTCTTCATATGAATCGAATGCTTCCTATATATGTTTTACTTTATCAATAAGGTTTTCTCATTTTATCTTTAAGTCATTTTAGACAAAATTTCTCAGAAGAAGTGTTTTCCCATTTCTAGTGTGTTCATAACCCTTGCTAGATCAACTATAATTTAACTGAGAATCTAAACTCCTTCCACCTAAATCTCTGAGCCATTTACAAATAATTACCCACTACTTTTTTTCCCGTGTGATGCTTCTATGTGATTTTTAAATTCCTATTGTTCAGACCTATGTCCCTCATGCATATATCTATCACCCATTTTCAATAAATCTTTTAGGTGCATATCTTAATATCTTCCAGGTGCAAAAATGAAAGTTTCTACAGAGGCAAAAAGGATAATCCTCTAATATATTCTCTGAAAATCACACACTCAGAAAACCTCTCTCCAACTTGAAAAAAGAAGCATTTACTTTCATAACAGGTTATTAGGCAAAAACATGCATTATTTTCATGTTGATATTTGCTCATAATTGAAATGAATTTTAACCAGGCCAGTAAATAAGTTAACTGCACAATTAGAATTTATTTTGTTCTTCTAAAAATTCAAAACTATTTGTTTAAAGACTAGTTTAATCTTATACTTACCAGTTATCAGCTTAGTTTTCAAACGCCATTTTTAATCAGAGCTAGACATTCCAATGCTACTATCATAACTGATTATTTTATACATTGACTCAGAACATGAAGGGATTGTTTGATTGAAGACATGAACTAGAAGAAGTCACTGTTCATAACACTTTTCAGGGAGGTGAAAAAAAAGAAAGAAAAAAACCAACCCAGCCCTTTATCTTATTGTATTCAATTAGTAACATTTTCTTCAAAACTTACATTTCTAGATTTTTGATTAAAAAATTAACATTCTTATTATTTATTTTTTTTTTTATTAAGCTCTGGAATCCTATTCAGAATACTTGCTGAATCAAGATTACATCAACTTCCAGGTATTTTTTCACTTGCGAATGATTTATTTTATGCAAACAAATGCTTGCATTTTCAAGCATTACTTAATTGAACCATTTCACAGGTGTTATTAATCTCCTAACAAAAAAGAGATCTCATCAGTTGAAAGATTGTTATACAGTACAATAAAAGTTATTTTTATAACACTGAAATTATTTGTTTACTGCATTTGTGCCTATCAAACAATTTACTTTTATTCCCAGCAAATCTTTCCTAGCAGGGCAAATTTCCCATAGTAAGTACTGACAGTGAAATATTTTTCCCAGAACTGGTATGATTACTACTTTGGTACTAGAAGAACTTTACATAAAAGAGCAACACTGAGATACAAGTCACTTCTAAAGTTTCTAAAATATTTTCCTCTCATTTTTTCTGTACTTTTTTATATCTCATCTCAAAAATATATTCATGGGATATTAGAAGCATATCTTAATAGCTGAAGAAAAATAAATATAGTAAAACCACTTTTAAAACACTCTAGATATTTTAATATATTTTTTATAAAATAGGTACAGAATACCTGATGTTTTATTATTTCTTGGATGAAAGTATTGCCATAATTCATTTGTAGTAAGGAATTAATGTATCCCAAATATCTGTGGGTATATTGCTTATTCAATACTATAACATCACTGCAGTAGTGTGCACTAATATATAGTCCCTTACTGTAAATATATATAAGTATATAAATATATATTTGCTTAGTTAAAAATAAATAAAAAGACAATGGTGTGTTCATTATGACCTTGTTGTTACTCACCATTCATCACATAGAGACAGAATGAAAAACACAAATTCAGAAAATTTGTAGATTTCTAATTCCATCAAAGAAAGTATTTCCTGAGTTTTTTCCTCCTCACTGAAGCTCAAGTTTACAAGCTGTACATTAATTCTTTGTGTATGAGATCTCCCTAAAAAGAAGAGCTACAATCGGCTGCAGATCCAGAGTAACAGGTTTGGGTTTTTATAGTCCTTGAAATAATGAATTCAAGTGAAGCTTTTGTATTGAAATGGTGCTGTAGCTACTTCTTTGTCAGCAACTGGTGCATGTAAGATAGTAATTAAAGTAAAATTTTCATTTTTTAGGTACTCACCCTTGATTGCTGCCGATTGAATTCTTGTTGTATAGACATATAATCAATCACTGGTGGGACTTTACTCTTCATGTTATGCTAAAGCACATGGTTGATATTTCAGGATGATTACCAACTCCCAGAATTCTATTTTTGTATTCTATACAATAATTAATGAGAGCTACATGTGCAGACTCACTTATTTTATTGAAATTCAAATGACTGTGCAGTAAAATTTCTGAAATATATGGCATAAATTGAGGAGACCAACATGATTATAAATAAAATTATTCATATCTATGCAGTATTTATTTAACTTCCACATTTAGAAGTCTCCTGTCATGTTTTCTTTTTAAAATGATACCCTAAGGAGATATTCCTAGGGGAAAAATATAAAAAACATTATGAAAGCCAGTTCCCTTAGTTATAGGCAAATCTTACTATAATGAAGACTTCTCTAACAAAATCATTGCTTTTAAACAGGATTCTCTCAGGCTTGAATATGATTCTGTGTGTCCTAGAAAGAATATATCTTTAAATATGCTTTATTTCAGACTGGCCTTTTCTAAGGGCACTCTGAGGTCAGCTCAGGTCTCATCCCATTTATTGGAAAGACACTGGATTTTTCAAAAATCAGAGGTGAAGCGCGGCTGTCTGAAGCATAGGTGCTCTGTGATAAACATCTCAACAGCTTCCTTTGAGGCTTACCAGCATTGGAAAGAGTTCAAAATCAGATTTAAACACAAAAGTGATGCTTCAATTCAAGCAAGAATTTTGTAGTAACTGTTTTCTGAAATAAGGTGCAAGTATCTTAATTTTAATTGATTTTCTTCATTTTTGAAGCCTTTGATAAAGTATCAAACAGAGAATTTAAGCCAGAACTCATAAATACTGACTGGCGCTCAAAGAAATCAAGGCAAGTAGTCACTTGCATTCTCTTGAAACTTCAAGGTTTTATGTGTATATGTTTTATTCATATCTATATCTGAATATTTTTTAACAACCCCAAGTTCTATGAGCCTAAAATTAGCAAAATTCTCTTCATGCAGGTAGTTTGTGTTAGAGGTCTGATAAATAAAAGCCAAACAATGAATCAAAAACTGGTGGTCCAGAAAAGGAATAGTATGTGAGTTTGTGATTTTATGAAATAGTACAAACCAATCTTTACAAAAACTGCGGTTGAGGAGGGGGTTGACTGATCACTCAAAAACATATGTTTTCCTGTGGAAAAACTAGCCTCTGTTTGTCTTTCTGCTCTTTGGTCCTTTTTCTGAACAAGTGGGGTGCTGGTTTATATTTATTCTATACTGATGAGAGCGAGTCTTTGCAATTCAAAGAATAGAGAAATGAGTCATTTATTCACTTATTTAAGTGAAGCATTTTGAATTTGAAATTAGTATGCTTTTAAAGTATATAAAAAAAGAGTAGAGGGGGAGAATTCAAGAGGACTGATTCAAATGAAGTAGAAATATAAGGTTCTAATTTGATGGCTTGAATGAATACTTTCTTGGCTAACAGCCATGTGAAAAAAAAAATAAAAATCAAAATTAAACTTAAGCAGGGTAGACAGCATTTCAATCTCCACTCCAGCAAAGGAGTATTTTTGAAATAAATATATCTACCTGATTTTCTGGTGACTATTAATGACTTGAGTAGAAGATAAATCCAGTGGCCTGTTGTCAAGAGGGCCACATGATTTGCTTTGAACTGGGAAAGAAGTCCACACTCTCTTTCAAATCCTAAAATATTTAGAGAAGTTGGTAAGAGATTTGTGTATTTATCACACACAAACATAGATGTATGCATATATTTATACATGTAAGCACAGTACCTTTTTTTTCCAGTGAGTGGATCTAATATTTAGGTGTGATAAATACACACAGAAATTGTTCTATCATTGACATTTGCTGCAGAGTCAAATATTCAGAGCATGACACTTGCCCTTAGTGTTATGATGATGTGTAATATAACATGCCCCATGACTTACTGGTGGTTTCCTGCTAATGACAATGTTTTTACAAAGGGATTTGCTATAGATGCTAAATAGCATGCCTAATGAAAAAAAAAAAAAAATTGGTACAATTTAGAATAATTTTTCAGTTTTGTATGAAAACGCTGTGGTGGGAAATTTCTCTTGGGACTGGAAGCTTTAGGACAAATCATGCATAAATTTAAGCAGCTTATGGGTAGCATAAGGAATTTCTGTGTCTCAGCATAAGGAATTTCTAGGTCTTAGGACACAGTGCAAAAGTAATGGCAAATTACAACATTTCCTGACCTGAGTCAACTGCACCACATAATGTATGAGAGAGAAGCACTGCCTATTTCTTCCTCACATAAATCTTATCTTTTTTCTTAGGGAGACAAATGCACGGTGACAAGGAGGGGAGTAATTGCATCTATCGGCGGTCTGGAATCTAATTTAGAATTCAGAAATATTTGTTGATAGATAGAAGTAGTGAATCTTTCATATAAGCTATTTTGCCAAACACCTTTCTTCCCACAGTTTATTGTATCTGATGCATCACTGTATTTATTTAACCAGTGAGTAAATCTTCACATCTGATTTTCAACTGGTGAGTGAGTTTCTGGTTAAATCAGTACTTATCTGGGTAGAGAATTTAGGCCTTCTAATTAGTCACCTTGGTTGAAATGTCTGTGGATTAGGGAGGGCACAAGGAGTAGTTATGGCTATGTAAACATCTGTGAAAATATTGCAAGAATATTCTGATGTTGTGATTTATTGATTTTTTTAAAAGTATGTTATATTACAAACCATATAAAAAGCCTGTAGGTTTCTGTATATAACATCCAATAATGCAGCTTCAATGCTTCCCCTCTGAGTTTTCTCTCATTCTAACCATCACTATCTGTAGACCAGGAGATGTGAGAAAGCCGTATTTTGACAGTATATCTTTATCCACAAAGGGAAAAAATCTTGTAGGAATCGCTGGGTGAGGAGGACACTCCACTTTGGAGCTACAACAGGGTTCATCTCAATACAGCTGAGTCGTACATGGGTACAGCTCTGACTTGTGGTCATTCTCTGAGGTCAAATGGCAAACAGTGAGAAGTAAGACCAGAAAAAATATTCTGAGATCGCATCAGCCAGTTTGCCCAGTGCCACTCTAGCCTCTTACAGATCAAGTTTTATTCCTCTTTCAATTAAAAAAAAAAAAATTTTTTTATTTGGTAAGAAAAGGAAGAGGGAACCGTTACATCCTAGTTTAGGTCTTATAACTATTTCTGGGAATTTTGATGCATTTATCAAGACTATACTGCATTCATTACAGCGAAGTAAGCAACACTTTAAAGTATAAAAATAAAGATGTTAGGTATTTAAGCATATAAATACACTGTAAAGTACTTTTTAACTTTGATTACTGTGGTAGTCTGTTATTTTACAGTTTGTTTTTCTGTAGCATGTTTTAATATTCCTTGTTATAAGTTTGTAGTGGTTCAGTCTCCGTACCACATTTGGCTTCCCTAATGGTTCAGTTCTGAGTTGTTCACCACAGTTTTCTTCACCAAAATGTATGTCAATCCACATGTCAATCTACTTGTACACCGCCCTTGTTCCCTTGTCTCGCCCCTGTCTGTCAAACATAGCACACTCCTTTGCTTCTGGAGAGTTCCCTGTCTTTCATCCCTTCCTTGGAGCAGAATTGGGTTGTGAGGTTTGCTCCCTCCCCGTGTTGGTTTCTATTGGGGAGCCCTTATCCTGCACCCCTCCCCTAATGCCCTCCTATTGCTCAAAGGTTGTGTCCTCACCGTGTTCCCCCATCCCTTAAAAGCAGCCCCTTCAGGTTCAGATGTGTCACTTGCTCTGCCCCCCTTCGGGATTAAATCTCTGGAGACTCAGACAAGTGTCCTTCCCTTATTCCTGTGCCTCAGTTTCCCCGTGCTCTGTGCCCTGCTGCGCTCCCCACGCCGCAGCGATCACCGCACCCGCACCAGGCTGGGCACAGACTCGGCGGCCGCTCGCGTGTGACCCTGCGGCCACAGCGGGACAGCGGCCGGGAACCTCCATCCTGTGGCTGCTGAGAGCCAGGAACAGATTATTTAATGAAAATTTTAGAGATGATGTCACCGTCGGCAGGAAAAGCAAAATTCAGACAAGTCATGAATGGGGCTTTTGTGGATTAGTGTTGTTACTGTCAGGAAACGAAGACACTAAAATACTTTTAAGCCACTATTTCAACAGTCTGTATTTTATTGTATGTTAAAATTGGGGTGGGAACATTGGAACTAGGTTGTTCTTTAAGCCTTGTCCCAGGTGAGAGGGTAACACTTCAGGTTAGAGATAGGCAGGAGCCAAAATGAAGGCAGAAATTGCAGAAAAGTCAGGAGTTGGCTTTATGCATTACTCATGGGGAACAGATGATATAGTCATTGCTAATCCATGAAGATATTTTTGCCAGTTACCTAAAATATTAATCTCTCCTGAATAAGATGGCTCCTGTGTGATATGAATCTCTATCTACCCTTCACAGAGTGTCAGTGTCTGAAGAGGTGCCAGATTAATGAAGAATGCCAAATGTCATCTCTCAGAGAAAATTTAAATGTAGGATCCCTTTGTATATAAGGCTAGAAAAGCAGTCACTGATGACTATATCTAGAAGAAGGGACTTTTATTATAATTTTTTATTAAGAAATCTGATGGGAGCTCTTTATTTGCTTCCCCTCCGAGCCACCCAGCTGTTCCTTCTATTTGTGGTCTTAGAGCTAATTACATAATGTCCCTAATTTATACTCACTGGTAAATCAGATCAGAGCATTACCTGGAGGGCAAGCTCTAATTAGAGGAATTTCAGAACAAATTGTCTAAAGAGCTTGTTTAGTGTGATTAAACGCAAGTGATGGGACTGTCTCTCTCCCTCCACTTCTTTTTTAAAAACATGAATATTTACCTTGCCCGAAACCTTGCAGATTAGAAAAAGAAACCCAGCAATGACAGTTTTAATTAAAGGGGTATAAAACAAATGGCAGTGCTACCCAAGAGAGCAAAGTGAATATATGCAGATTAATGCTGGGTTCTCTTACTACAGTTTTACTATCTTAGAAATAACAAAGTGGACAGTAACTGCCTTATGTCATGGATGAATGGAAGAAAGATAAATGTGACTCTCCAGATTATATCGTGTCCGCAGCATGTTGCCTAGGAACACAGAAAAACATAGAAATATATGCAGTCATTTGTCCTATATAGCCTTGGAAAAGATATGGTTTCATCTTTAAAATGACGCATATTGGTTAAGATGTGTTATAAAGGCTTTGCTGAGCAGTGGAAAGAACTAGGTAGAAATGCTCCTCTGTACTTTGCCTGGAGAAGAATTAAAGCTCAGCAGTTTATATCACCAGTAGTTAAATATCCTGAAAGTAGAAGGATCCTAATCTTTTGCAAACTGTCTCGAGCAGCTGTCTGGAGTTTATGAGTAGAGCAGTGGGCAGCAAAGAAAACTGTAGTCAAACTAAAGGAGAGATGTGACTTTTATGTTTGGCAGGTGATGCAAATTCTGGTGGGATCACTGGTATCAAATTAATTAATTAAGATCCACCAATAGAGGAAAGAGAAGTGAATGGATTTAGAAAATTAATACTGACATTTTTATACTTTATCATGTATTATGCTTATGGAAGTGTAAATTATCTGTTTCACAAGAGGACGAAAAGGCTAATATATCACCATGCTCTGGCCTATTCCTGATACCTTTGAATCCCTACTGCACTGTGCGGTTGTCTGGAATTCTGTAATTAAATTTCTTGTCCTGGGTAAACCTTGAATAGCTTGACTCCATTATTCCACAGTAACTAAGGAAATGTCAGCCCCTTCTTCCTGAAATGACATCCCTCTTATGTGCAAGGACATCAGGTAAACTTTTTCCTGAAGAAGATACAATGAACTCATTTTTTAGCAACGTTCTTGTATAAAAATAGCAAGAACTTGGAATAAGTGATACAAAGGTTGTTTTAATATGTACCCACTTCTTGGACACATTAGGATAATGTAGCAATTATCAGCTGAAATAATAGCTTCTTTTCCCTGCCTGTTGATTAGAAACTAAAAAAAATAAGCAGCATATGAAGCCTGCCAAATGAGTCTTGAAACACTTTGATTTGCTCTCCAACTGATCTTTACAGCATTTAGGAACAAGTACTTTTCTAGTCTCACTAGATAAACAACTCCTGAGAAAATATAACCAGCTGAAAGTGGTATCCCTTAGGGAAAATCCCTTATTACAGAGCAGCAAAAGCTGCTACAAGTAGGTGACTGCCAAGATTCTGTAATAAAAGCAGTAGTTCATAACACAGGCACAGTGAAATGAAAGAAAACAAAATCCTCATGGGCTACAAGTTAGTATGTGGTGCCAATCTCCCAGAAGGCTTAAAAAAATTATCACAAGGACAAAAATACTTAAAACTTTTTTTTTTTTTCTTAAGAAAAACACTATGGTTTTCTTTTTATAAGATAGGCTAAGTCTCCAGATCTAAACATTGCTATTCATATCCTGATATTATTTTGACAAGTGAAGTTTACAATCAAGAACTCCTGTGAATGCACATAAGAACTAATTTCCTCAAAATTTATCTTTAAATTTGAAAGGGATAAAATATAATAATGTACAATCTGCTATTATCTTGAATGATAAGTATGCTTGAAACCCTGTATCCAGCTCTCTTTAGTGGGTTAGAATAGAAATGTATCGTTTCTATCAGTTTTAGGATGCCCAGATCCATCTCCTGTAGGGATGAATATATAGAAACTGTCTTATATTGTATTGTACTACAAGAAATATTTACCTCTTATATATTTTCTTTTCTTATTTTCCTTTAGATTGTGTTCCCTTTATGACTGGCCAGCTCTACAATTTCTAAAAATGGTTTGTACAAGTGTCTGAGATGTTTTGACCTACTTTGACACAGAGAATTATGATTATACCATGGGGAGCTTGGAGAGAGTGAATGGTAAGAAGAAGAAATCTCTCCTCAAATTTTATGCTTTTTTAAAAATTGTTTTTAGAGTTCAATACAGGAGTGTCCAGCATATGATGAATCTCATCCTGCTATCAGAGCACCGTATTCTAACTACTGAGTGTTTGTCCACCATTTCTGAAATACCTGATCAGAAAAAACAATTTTAAATTTGGAGTGCTATGAAAATAAAAATTATTTTTATTTTTGGATAACCCATTCAACTTTCTTCAATTATTTGGCTACTGGAAGCAATGTGAAGAAAGGTGGTACTACAATGTCACACTGTAGGATACTGGTGTGGTGGGGGATGAGTTGACAGCTGTCTGTGGGAAAAGTTTCATCTCTTAGTTATGTCTTTCAGAAGCAGTGGTGGTGCTTCCAGCAACGCTGTGCTAGAGAAAGGCAGGACCATGATGGATCTTGTCCCCAGAGGTAATGTGACTTGAAGGCACCACCTGAGCCTTGCAGCATAACCCATGGCTGAAGGGTGAAGGAAACTCAGCCATTTCCTGCATAGCAGAGATGGATCTACTTTTGTACATATCAGGTAAAAACTGCTATTGTCAGTAAACCACTGCTTGTGTCTTCTGCCAGTGGTTTGGTAGCTGCCTTCAGGACTAAACTTGTGAGGCTCAGTCAGAGAGACAGGTCCTGTGTGTTTTGATTTAGATAAATGCATTCTACACATGTGTTTGATGTTCAAGGCCAGAAGAAGGGAGGGTTGAGGCTCACTCAGGTTCAAAAATCACACAGGCAATTAACACAGAGGTAAGCAGTTTGAGGAAGAGTGGCTGCTGCTATTTTAAAGTGAACGTGAAAAGCTGCCAAGAATATCTGGTATGAACGCCCTATCCTTACTTTCTCTGAGTAATCACACAGTTATCTGTATGAACACACAAGTGTGTTCCCCTTGGCTTGAGGGTAACAAGAACTAAAGACCCTACCATATGGTTAGCTTTAAATTTAGAGGTAATAAAATAGATTGGGAGAGCTTGGATGATTTCCAAAGTCTGCCGAGGTTTGTATTTCATTCTTCTGGTGTGATCTGCAATAAATCCTTTTTTTCTTCGCCTAGATACGATAATATTACCTTTCTCTTCAACATTTATTTCTCTAATCTGTGTAAATTTCTAATAAGGGAATTCTTGTTTATTGGTGCTCATGGAGAATTTGGGCTGTGAGGCCCAAATCTTGGTTCATGCTCCAGGCAGTACTTTCATACAGGTAATAATAATATTGATATACTTTTGATAAGTGCAAATAAAGAAACTCCTTGGAGAGAAATAGAGGATAGAATTATAGTGAATGAAGATTTAAGACTGACATCATGCAGGAAGGTTTTACAGGAATTTTAAAGTGATATTTTAAAGTAATGATTTCAAAGATATAAATAGCAGTTATGCTGCATACTGTCATTTCCTTTATGTGGCAATCAGCTATTATTAGATATTTTTGCCTTTGAAAGGTGCATAACTAAAACAAATATATAAGGAACATTGCTGTTCAGTAGAATTCAACACAAAAAAAAATCCTAAAATTACTTAAGATTCTTAATTCATAATCATTGACAGTAATTCTTAGTGATGTTGATAGTTGGACTAAATGCCAAAAATTGCCAAACAAATGACAGTTTGAAAGCTGAGATCTCACACACTAGTCAAAATCGGGTCAAACCTAGTTTTTTAGAATGCTTTATCCATTAGCCAGTTCAACACACACAGTCAACAGCTAAAGTTTGGCTTCATACACCAGAGATTCTCAGCGAGGGAGAGTGGCAGGAAGAAATTTTTAAGAGGTTCACATTCTTTCTGCCAACTACTCTATTAGGATGAGTGAAGTTTAAATTACTTGATTGAAAACTTCTTTTATTTGCTCAGCCTTGAAGTTAAAGCTGTCCTCTCCCTTGACTTCTGTGTCCATGAAATGGACAGAGTTGATAGCCCATAAAATAGACTAACTTTTCACTAGCATGCTATTAATATTTTGTCATCTGAAAAGATCAAGAAAACTAGAACTATATATGAGTTTATTTCTCCTTGGAAAAACATGTTAAAAAAACTTTAAGTCTGAAAGGAAGTGGTAGCATTTTTTTTGGTTTGTGAATAGTTTTATTTTTTAATTCAAATTGAAAAAAATGCAATCTTTTCAAAGGGAAAATACTACCAACCTTTTAGATTTACCAAACTTTTCAAAACCAGCTGAGACATTTGCCTGCAGGACCTGTACATTTTCAGAGATACCCCAATATTTAAAGGCTCTCTAATGATCAAGTTGATTGTAAATATCTATTACTAAATGAGATATTGTATTGAATAGAAATTTAATATTCTATTACCTTATAGTATACCTAATATACAATTTAATCCATATTTTAACTCTACCTTAAACTTTTGTTGAGTATTATAATAAATGATTGTATCTGAATGAGTTGGATCTTTACTCTGGATAGTGGTTCAGAGCTTTAAACCTGTTGTTGCAAACAATTAATTGTTCCTTTTCTTTTTGTTTCTCTATGATTTCCCAAAGTTTTTAAGTGGCAATTGGAAAGAATATGTATTTTAGAGTGTCAAATCTAGCAAACTAGGAGCCAGATACCAACAATTCCTAAGTTAAATCTCTGACAGTATTCTGGAAAAAAAAAAAGATTTGAGGGATTATCAGTTTTCCAAATAGCAATTTCAGAATATCTTTAATATGCCTGTTGGAAAAAATAAATCTGATTTTCTTAAAAGTAGCAGTCTGTCAAGCACTTAACACAGTCATGGTCTTACTGTTTTAACAAGTAGAACTAGCATTATTTTGCAGACTCAGCTTTTTTCTTTTGCATATAATAACAAAGAATCTTTACATGTTGCTTGGTTTGAAGAAAGTTATTTGGTGATATTCCCATCTGCTTTCAGAGGGGTGGCATAATGGAACTCCTGGCCCACAGGGTGCTGAACCACAGAAGGATTTGGGCTGGTAGGGCCCTCCAGAGATCTCTCTAGTCCATATGCTATTGAGGTGAGTAAGACTAACTTAGAAGTTAGACCTGAATCTTCTGTGTCTTAGCGAGTTTTGTATATATTCAGGGTTGAAGAGACTACAGCATTCTGGACATGCTTCTTGTGATTTTTTTTTTTTTTCCCTCACTTGTTCAAAATTTCCTTTGTTTCAATACACAGTTTGAAGAAAGAAATGTCTGTCTCAGCCTCTCCTACAATCCCCCTCTATGTAGTTGAATAGTTCATTGAGATCCCCCTTAATGAGGCAAGCTTCACTCATTCACACTCTCCTTATGGATCATAAAGCCATATCCCTGCTGGGCTGGAACCAGTGGGTCAATATGTATTACATATTGGGGAACCCAAACCCTTGGCTTTATGCAGGACACTGCTGAGTGTTCTTACTTGTCCTTTTCTCTTTGTCGCACTGCATCTACCCCTGCTCAGGCATGACCATGACTTAACCAGAAGCCTCTGAGCAAAATCTACCCTGCTTCACATTTTGCCTGCCGCCTCTGCAGGTTCTTCAAGTGGTCCTTTATAAATAAAAGGGAGTTATTCTCCTTCAGCCTCTACCATGTCTGAGACCTCAGAATCTTTCTCAGAGCCCATGCTGCTGCAGCACAAGGGGTGATCACTGCAGGCTGTTCCCAGGATTGTGCTCCTTAGCACATCTTCATCTGTTTCCTTGGGCAGGCACCCTGCATCCCGCACCACTGGACTCAATGGACAACCTCACCTTATCATCTGTATTGTTCTCCATGGGGTTGTGGAGATAAAGTCAAATAAAATCTATTCTTTATTTTTAGATCCTCCTGCACCCAGGAACAAATAATGAACTAGGTAATAGGTAATTATCTAGGTAATTATCTAGTTGCATTTTTTTATGTCTGACTGAATAGTGTCTCACATTGAAGGAATAACAAATGTTCCCAATGACTTCGGTGGAGTGGGACTTATCCCTGTTGTTTATGAAGACTCCCTTTGCTGGTGAGTATCTGGGACCTGAAATACCTGGTAGCTTCTGACAGAAAAAGCAGAAGTTTATCCTTATTCAAATATTTATGAAATAAATATAACAAAACTAGATCAAACATTAAACTCCCTCCACCCTGCCCCAAGGAAATGCGCCTTTAGTAACTGAATAACAATCAGAATACATACAAGACTTATTCTGCTAAATATAAACGGTAAATTTGTTAGGTTGGCTATTGAACATCACTTTAATAGCATTGATTACTAAAGAAATTTCCATTTCACTATCATTTAATATTCATAGCTCTTACATACTTCTTTTAATTGTTCTGGAATATAATGAACCAAGTTAAATTAAGTTGCTCTGTAATCAATAATATGTTACTCTGCCACACGAAGTTCAAGAAGTGTTCATGAAATAGGGAGCACAAAATGATTGTAAATACATTTGGAAGAGACAAGACAAAAGTTACTTTACAAAACACAGGAAGGACTACTTGAAGTCTTTTCTTAATACCTTTCTTTTATAGAACATAAAGGATTTTGTTAATATATTCTTTTGAAAATAAAAGACAAAATGGCATAAATCACACTATAGCTGTTCACTTGTGTTCATGGGAAAATTTGTACAAATGTGCCTTAGTATGATTCAAATAAAGATTAGATTCACATTAGTAAGAATGTAAAAGTAGGTAGATATCTGAAGTTTTTCTAGCTCAGAAGGCATCTACAAAGGCTATTTATTAACTGATTTGGTAATTAACCAAGCTTACCCAAGATCAGAAAAGACATCACAACTATTGTGATGAATTTTCTAAACTATTAGTCCTTATATACTGTATCATTCTTTAAATATCACCCCTGCTTGAACAAATGGTGTTGCACTGATCTTTTCAAATAATGACAATACTTTGTGAGACTTTTTTGTTGCTGACCTAAATAAACAGGTTATGATGTCTGTGGACACTCCCCTTTTAGAAAAAAAGGTAAGAGATCAGCTTGTGGGTTTATCTAGTGGTATGCATATATCAGCTACTTGTTCTTCCTTCAGTCATAGCAATCATCTGTGGTAGCTTCAGTCAGCTTAAAAGCCAAAATTTCCTTTCTATGGAAAACATGCAGGAACAGAAGTGATCTCAGAGCTGATCTCATCCCAGGATCAGGCGGGGACATGATTAAGGAATGATTTAGGACTCAAACCCTGGAGCTGAGGAACGCTCCTGGGTCCTGTAGATAAACACTGTCTTGCCTAAAGCTGTATAAGGCAAATGTTTGTCTGAGATTACAATCATAGACCTGCAAATTTAAAGTTTTCAGGTGAGTGTATTAATATTGCAAAAGTACCTTGTTCCCTTTTACACATTTTTTTTTATCATCAGTATAATCTGGCTTGCTAGAACCTGGCCTTGCAGACCGCTGTGTTCATGCATGACCAGGTTACAGCTAATCTTTAAAGAATTTAACAGTCATCTTTTCTATGCCAGTGACTGCACCAAATTGAAATATATTAATAATTTACAATTATAGTTCAGACTATTTGTTGTAAAACCCGCAGAAAACAACCAGAAAAATAAGCATAATGAAAACCCTACAGATTATAATATCAGGAAAGCATTTTATGTCTTGTATAAATACAGGGTAACTCAAAGAGCAAAAAAGTTACATTTTTTTGAAATAAATGGTAGCCGATAAAGCAATCTACCTACCAAGTCACTGAGTATCTATCCAATTTCCACGTTTCCTCTTGATGCCTTGCAGCCTGTGGGACAAGAGGTGTTTGAATGACAAATGCTTCATAACTGGATGCTAGTTTCTGGGAGACCTTGGTAAACTGAATACTGTTTCAAAAAGCAAAATTCCAGTTAACCTGTATCTGGAACATTCTAGTTTTGGCAAGTGTGTATGTGTTTCTGTTTTCAGCAATCCTACGACATAGTTAGAATGTTTTAATGTATGATTTTGGTACAGTCAGTTTCTTAGGAAACCTGTTTGAAACCAGTGAACCTTTGAGGGATGTTAATCAATAGAAATGAATACATTGATAAGGAAAAAAGATTTAATTCTACCAAATACTTGTTCAGATTAGCCAATGCAAGGAATCTGGATCTGACCAAAGAATTTTCATTTTTATTTATGATTGTGTTTTTTTTAAGCTTTCTATTCTGTTCTATTTCTATTTCTATTTCTATTTCACTGTCTGAATCAGCTTTTGCTAACCATTTTCCATGATAGCTTAAGTGCCAACAATGGAACAAAGAAAACAGTGCAAGATTATATGAATTTCTTAAGATAAATGGTTTGCTTAAGAGTAATATTAATTAGGTGCATCTCTACAGAAGATATTGATTTTATTAAAAATAAACATTATTGGAACAGTTTTAACATTTATTGTCATCATAAAAAAGTTCTCTCATGAAAACTGTTTGGAATTTCAAGCTTGACTGAACTTGAAAAATGCAGAGCAAAATTTTGCCAGATTTCATCTGACTCCTTCTCTGGCATATAAAACTTGGATGAGGTTTTGATACTTCTGGAGCAGATTGAGAAAATAGGTCCAAGCTTCAGATGTGTGAGAAAACCCTCTTGTGTTCTTTTTCAAGGATTTTCTTTCCCTATCTTTCACTGACTTTATATGACCTTCAACAACACAAATCACTTAAAAATATTGTGTCCTGAATTTTTCCTAAATATAGGAATTATGTACTACATTAGTAGGGATGTTATGGCCTAAATTTATTTATTTTTTTAAGCTTATTTTAAAAACAAAGCAGTAAATGACCGTACAACTTTACAATTGTGACAATTTCACCATGAGAAATTGAGGTAGAACTGTATCTCTTCAGATATGCTTTCCCATTTTAAAGTCAGTTTACATGAACCAAACTTATGCCCCCTTAATATTCTTCATATAAACCCACCACAATTCTCTAAGCGCTCATTTTGCTCACAAACCTATTCAGTTTGTGTGAATAGGTTTAGCTGGCTGGACTGTTTGTGAAAACTGCATTTAACATTCATGCAAGATGAGCACTCACTTCTGGCAGTGTTATCACAGACAGCCAATCAGAGATTGGTAGCAATTTTGTGCAAATTAATTGACCAGTCACATCTAACAGTTTAAATAACAAATACAACATGGGACAGATTTTGACATGTTTGAATAGTTCTTTTGTTCATTACACTCAGGCTCCCACAGAAAGCCAGTATTCAGGGTGAGCAAGACTACTGACTGATGGCTAATCTGCATTTGCTACAAGACTAGAGTCTCATGACCAAGCTGTAAAAATTAAGGAATAATAATTAATTGGATAATTTAAAGTAGATATCTAATAAAAACATTAGTAATGGTAAGAAGTCTCTCATGAGCAGGAAAAATTAGATCATTGCAGAATGATTCACTGTGGATTATTCACACAGCTGTAGAAATTATTCAGACTGACAGATTGATGAGTAGAACATGCCCATAAAGACGGGATATTTCTCACTCTTTGTTATCATTTCTTTGCTACACATTCTACAGCTTTGACTGTGATTCTACAAGTTCATACAAAGCAAGGAAAGCTACCAAACAGGATAATCTCTGATTTTACTACCAGCACAAAATTAAAGGATAGAACCCAACAGGAGCAATTGGATGAAGAAAGAAATGGAAATTACATTCTTAATTAACAATGGAGTTATCAACTAAAATGCATATTATGCCCTCTTGGGCTTAAGTTTGTAAGAGATGTGCAGAAAATGTTGGAGTTAGCTGACTGATTTTGAATATAGTCAAGTAAAATTATTTTTAGTAATAAACAAACTAACAGTCATAGGAAAAGAGTAACCTTTTTTTTTTTTTTTCTTTGCAATCCAAAGCAAACTTCCAATTGTTAAATTACTGTGATGAAATATGTTGTGAAACTTCACTGACAAGGGCATAATATTTTTCCAAAATAATATGTTTTTAAACTGACATCTTCCTTTTTCTTCAAGTAACAATAGTATTTATGTAGTTTTGAATAGATTTTTCCTGTTGAAGTCACAATAATATTGAACTTGATCAAGTTTAACCTGATGAATTTATGAATTCATGCTTTTAATTTATAGCATGAAGAACTTTAGCTAAAGGTAGCTTCTATATTGGCAATTTTACAGCTTAGTTACTATAAAAAATTTACAATAAATGGAACTTAGTCTTTGGAAAGATAGAAAATGAGTCTGTCATCTTACTTGAATATGGAGCTGCTATTTTAAATACTACAGCTGGTATACTTTGATTAAACAATGCCTATTAAATGGATTACTTTAAATGGAAATTTTGTAGTGCTTGAATTTGGATAGGAGAAGCTAAATTTGTAGACATATCTGCACTATTTCAGCTGCACAGTGCAATGAAGTTTTAATCAAAGAAATGTCATAAAATGTTTGACCTTTTGGATTTTATTTGTACTATTCTGAAGCCATCCCAGAAAGATTATATATTAAACATGAAATAAGAAAGTATTTTGCCTTTATTTTTTATGTGCTATGGTGTTCTATGTACCTTTTACTGAAATATTAAAAAAAAAAAAAAAAAAAGAAAAGGAAAAAGGTCTAGTCTCATTCATCAAAAATCTCTTATGGTATGTTCTGAACCCTGCTCTAGCCTTTGGGGTTGATTATTGACTAGGATGATTCTGCTTATATAGAGCTCCTAAAAAGTGTTACTTCTTTTACTGTTAAAAATGCAAGAATGAGTCTTACATAAAATATCTTGTGGTTTCTTACCACCAATCTAAGAATCTTTGGGCCTTGAAATATAGTTTGTTTAGCAGATAATCAAAAGCATAAATGTCAGATGATACTTTTCTCTGAGAAATATAGGAGGCCAACAACACTTCATTTACAATTTAAGTGCTCAGCTCTAACAGTTATTTACAAATCTTGTTTAATTGTTCAGGCATCTTGAGATGCATAGATATTTTGTTCATAAAGTCGCCATCCCTGCACAGTCTAATCCAGCAAGCATTTACACATATGATAAGTTCATTCAAAAATTGCTGTCTGTAAGTAGGCCAAGATCTCTTTGATAATGCAATTGCAACAGCAGAGGTTATATGGGAAGTACTAAACTTGGGTTGCCTTCACAATTAAAAAGCTGAACATGTTTTCCACTTCAGTCACTGCATTTTCTTCCAGAGCAGTTTTCAAAAGGGTTTTCTGAACACGCTTCCCAATTCCCTTGTCAAGCTAGCTCATTTCATGGCAAAGAATACAGCATTCACAGGGCAAGAAGAAAAAAAAAAAAGAAAAGAAGGAGAAAAATTACCTTGACTTTATATTAGAATGAAAAGGGACTGCTTCTTGATTTTTCAGTACAATGGTATCCATAAACATGACTTTGCATCAGAATGAGAACCCAGAGTAATTTTCTCTATGGATTCTTTCAAGAATATAATTTGAATTCCCTGGAAAATTCAGTGGTAAATGAGGTTAAAACTTTGAAGTCTTCTGGAAAATGAATACTTAGTCCTGAGAAAAAGAGGAATTCACTTCCCTTGCAGTGCTTAGGAAAGCAGCATACACACTGAATAATGTAACAGGCGGAGTGGGTGGGTGTGCATGTGCAGGCAGAACATCTCACTGCCACTGTTGCTTCACAATGAAAATTCATTCCCAGACATGTCTTTTCCACACAATCATTTTAACACATTCTTCCTAACCTGAGCATGTTGGGCACAAAGGAGCTTCATGCATCATGCTGTTTATCCTTGACCTTTCCTGCTGAGTTCAGGGAGGTACACATCTTCTATTTTATCTTGGAAAATACTAATTAAAAGAGAAGGGAGAGATTTAAACGTGTGAAATTTTAATAGACTTTCCCAGTGTAGCAATTGTACATTATGTCATCTTGGATAAATTTTGACTGAATTAGCTTTTGCAGAATGCCCACCAGACCTGCTTTCACAGGCTGTTTTGCCATATGCACTATTAAAACATCCCCATTAGCTATGCCTAGGGTTTAATCTTTTGCAACTGATTACAAATTGTCCATAATTCACAGCCCAAAATAGAATCACAGGAATTAATTTTTAAACGTTAGACTTGCAAATTCATTATACCAGAAACAAAAGGATATATCTACTTATATTATTTTTAACCTGGAAAGGATGAAGATTATATTGGTCACAGATGTTGATGATAAAGATAAGATACTAATAAAGTATTAGTCAAAGTCCAATTATTAGACCCATGGATGTTAGGGAAGTTTTAGTATGTTAATATTGCAAGTCTGACAGAAGTTCTAGTATTTCTCTTGAAGTCTGGTTGGAAGAATCCCACTGTATGTGAGTCACTGCCCTCTCACTTTGGTAAAGCGATACATACTCAAAAAATAAACAAGAATTGACAGAAATTATGCTCTGTAAACCTAAATCGCTTCTTTTAAACATCTTGAAGGGAGAAGGTTTTTTTCTTTTCCTATGACTCCCTTAATAATGGTCATCCTCATTTTTGTCTTTTAGGAAGGAAAAAAAAAAAGGCAAGGGAGAATAAAGAAGGCACTGCCTGAAAGCTGGAGCTTCAAATCTTCCTCTATGACTGTCATCTCCCTGTTCAGACAAGATGTGCATGCAGCCCTGCACTCTAGTTCCTCCTCAGTAGTCCTTGCCTAGTTTATCTATGGTTCCTGTATCAAGGAAGACAGAGGGTGATAAATGGTCACCTAGAGCTAACTAATGGTCAGCTGTAAATCAGTTAGATGTAAGTAAAGTCAACAAGTTTAGGATGCATGTTTGCTTTTCTACCACTAATGATGTACTTCTGGTTTGGAAGGCTCTTTTACAATGACCAAAAATAAGGTGGGGATTCTGCTTAGAAAATGTGTTCCTAAAATCAGAATTTTGAGTCTTCTTGAATACCTATTTAGAAGTAAGTAATATGGATGGGGAAGGCAAAAAAGTAAAAGTAAGGAGTAATTAAGGCATTTTTAAATATCAGAGCTGTGTAAAACCACAAAGGGTATGTATTGTTAAGTCCTGGTTGAATTTGTATTCCCATGATTTCCAGACTTTTTGAGAAAATGGAGACTGAAACCCTATGAACATCCTCTCCTTTGAACTCCTAGTCCTATCAAACTTGAGGTTTTCTCTGCACAGTAATTTATATCATGAGAGTGCACTAAGCCACAGCTGCTGGGAGCCCTAACCACTCTGCAAGAAAATGGGCATTTTTGTCGTGGTTTGACAACAGGCTTTCAGACCTATAATGCTTCACTGGAATTCAAACATTCAATATAATGCCTACAAATTATGATTTTGGATGCAGAATATATTTTGAAAATTACTGATTCCATTTCCAGAATGCTGAAGGAAATGGAGGAAATGGCATTTTCTGATGACAGCTCTAGTACCTACCCTGTGGAGCTGTATGAGGTAAGCAGCTCATATATTTTCTGCCTTTTAATCCCCTCTGTGTCCATCCTCATACCTGAAAATATATCAAAAGCTGAATATTTGAACATTTATTTTCTTAGGAAAAAAATATAGGGAAAACACTGTTGGGTTTTTTTTGGTTTTTTTTTTCCAAGGTGAGAAATCTGATACTAAAGTTATTCTTGAAAGAGCAAATAGAAAACAGATCCTTCTCAGCATTGAAACAGCACCATTGCATTCATCTGAAGAAACCATCCACATTTCTTAGGGTGTAACTATTCCCTGGGAAGTTTGAGTGCCACAGTGAGCAGGGTTTAGAGTCTTGTGGTTCAGAAATCCAGGCTACATTTCCTCTCATAACTGCTGACCTAGGAGCAGCCATGAAGAATGATTTGGAGATAGATAAGTATGCCCTCATCCAACCCTCAGATGCTGTCACCAGTCTCTAGCAGATGAGTATCACATCGATCAGCGTGTGCCTTCTTACCTTGTGCATGCAAAGACATTGGGGCGGCACACTTCCTCTTTCTCTTGCACTTTACACACCGCATCTATCAAGAAAAAATGTAGATTAGGCAGCTCAAAGGTAAAAGAAGCTGTCTCAGCAACAGGAGAATGACTCACCAAGGAAATGACACAGGGAGAATTAAGTTTATCTCTTCAAAAGGATACAAGACGTGTAACCATTCAGAAGCACTAGGTGTGGCAGCTTCTTTCTCTCTCTCTCTCATCCTGTATCCAGTCAAAACAGCAGATCGTGGCAAAGGTCCCAAATAATGTAATGCATTTAAAAAGTCCAAATGAGCATCTGTGTCTTGTGACTGCCTATCCTTCAACATAGGATGAATACCAGGTCTCAATATCAGGCAGGGATCATGCTCAATATTAAACTTGAAATAACTGTACTGTAAAACGTTTGCAATTTCTTAAATGGGTAGAGAAAGAATCCAGCTCAGGCTAGTGCAAGGCAGAGTATTTTTTTCAGAAATGCCTATTAGGTCTGATTTATTCACATTACATTTTTTTCCACAAGGCAGAATGATCATATGTATTCCAAGCCACATCAGCAGCTAGAGCACAGGGGAAAGAGGATTCTGGAGTTTAGGATAAGGCCAGTCTGCGTGCAACGCTTGGGATAACTGCTGATCTCTTTAGACTCTCTTATATCAGTTCTTTCTGAGTCTCTCAGGAGATGTTGCTTGTACTAGAACTAATATTTCGAGCATCAAGAGAGTAAAGCTGAAAAGAAGCAGAGGAAACCAGGCAAGTGCATGCCACAACATGCTGAGTCACAGTTTAAAAATTCCATGGTGGCCCTAGTAAATTCAGAACCACCAGCAGCAGGGGTTTTCCATGGATTCTCTGAAGAGAAGGGAAATAAAATCTTATTTTGCAGCTATTGCCTGGACATGCCTCAGAGATGGGCCTTTCACAGGGTTGCTGAAAGTCATTTAATCCTTGTTTCCACCTGCTCCAGCACATCACATTTTGCAGCTCAGCAAGGCTCTATCTTTAGCCTCTCAGCAGTGGGACACTTTAGGCAGAAGAGGATTAAACAGGCACACACAGATTTAAGTGCAGCCTGCAACTAGTCACAAATGTATTATCTGCATAAGCTGTCATTACTGGCAAGAATATAAAACAAAATTTTTGTCTTGCACTATTTCTGATTAATTGATTTGAAGCACGAAGGAAGAGTGTTTCTACCTAAATAATAGTGATATTCATTGCAATAAAACTTCATTAAACCATGTCTGTATAATTTAGCATTTTCTTAAACAAGGGGAACTGATCTTTATAAAGAAACCGGAGGGAAAACACGGCTGAAGAAAATGCGTCCCAACAAACATTATTACTACCAAACAATGTCAAAGGGAAATAAGCCTGACAAATCTAGTTGGCTAAATCAAAGTGTGGGCATTTAATACTGATGTGGGTGTTGCTTATACAGATTTGATAGTATTAAATAATTTATCCCTAAAATCATAGTGTTTCATTTCATCAAATATTGTTAAACAATTTCTTTAATATAAAAACAAGGATGACAACAGGAACATAATTTTCTCCCTTTTTTTAGCTTAAAAACCTGAAGTGGTGTAAGGATTTAGAAATCATTTACATGAATCCTCAAAAGCAGGTGGTTTTAATTTGAAAGACTTATTACTGTAACTAATCATATGCAAGCATCTTTGTTTTTGTAAAGATGAAGTTCCTCATATGTAATAGTCTCCTCCTTGGAAATGTTCTTCTTCTTTGGAAACGGAGCTATGTCCTCGCTCTGAACTTGGGTTTGGCAGAGTATTCCCTGTACCTGGGATCTCTGCCAGAAAAATGTGAAGACATGGGGTGGGACAAGGGAAAGAATGGGCTAGCTTGAGGGAGAGGTTAGCAGCCTGTGGTCAAGGGTTACAGAAACTCAAAATATAAAAACTTCATTGAAACTGAGTTGAGAAAAATGAAGAATATTTACAGGACAATTCTTCCCATCCATAAGATTGTTCAGATGGAGATGCACTGAGCTGGACTCCTAATTTCTGCACAAAGCAGAACTCCACTGACAGTAGAGTCTTACATATTTACAGTGGTAGAAATTAAATTTTGATTTGGATTTATTATTTCTTCTTTTTTTCTTCACACTTTCAGAGTGAAAATTAATTATTGTTTGGGTTGGCATTTTTGAGATTAGATATTTTTAGATGAGTTCAAGATTAATTTTTTTCTTTGTAAAGTGAAAATAAAATCCATGCAAACCAGACTGATTTTAAACAAGTGCTCTGTAAGAAGGAGGCTTTTCCATATCCAAAGACAGATAAGTTTAAAACAATATATGCACATCTATTTAAAAATTATAATTTATTAATATGAAGAGTGATAACTGTGTTTTTTAGGCAGTTATGACAAAGGCAATTATATTTAACTATCAGTAAAGAGATAGAAATGAGGAAAACTGCACAAAATTATTGTATAATTTTTGTCCCTTCAAATAAGTAACCCTTCGAGCAATAGGACTTCAACTTTTCTAACTTGCATTTGGCCCTCTTATGTTGGTAAATAACAAAACCTTTTATCATCTGCTTATATTCATAATATATCAAAAATATTATTGTAGCAGAGGCAAATTGTTAAATTGCGAACTGCAAGTTATCCAAGAGGACTGACTTGGTTGGGTAAAATGCTTTCTGCTTGTAAATCTGAAAAAATTTAAGGTAGTTGATTTGCTGTCCCAAATCGTGTCAAAGTAATGTTGCCTTTTAAGAGTTAGTGCTCAGATCTGCACTCACTTGGAATTTGATTGTGGAGCTATCACTGTGGTGGATGGACTTAAGCTATGTAATTATATATGCACTTGTCCCCTGGCTACACATAAATGATCATGACACTTAGGAGAAGGATTTTAACTGAAATAAACCTTGTCTGTGGGGCACCCAAGAATTGTATGCAGACATCACATTACCACATCATCTTTGCCTAGAAGAGTGGTGAGTGCAGGAAAATAGGGTGTGACTCCAAATGTTTGGCTTCTACATTCAAATGATGTTGCCCAGCCCTCATGATTCACTATGTGCGTGGTTCAGGCTTAATGTAACTTGAATTGTTGCTTGAAGCAGTGTGTTTTGTGTAGTAAGACCTTCAGGGCAAGTAATGCAGAGTAAACTCTATCTAGAGCTGTCCTATCCCCTTGCACTGTTCAGCTCTATCCACACCCTCTGCTGGAAGACTTGTCAGAATTGATTTATTAGTTGCTGCAATTGCTGGTGTGACAAACCAGCTCCTTCTACTCTACAGTGCAAATTTTGTTCCTCTGTAACAGGCAGTCACTATTTAGGGAAGTTCAGGGGGCTCTGGAGGTATGGAAATGTGCTTAACAAGGCATAGTTTTATCAGTCTTCATAGAAGTTTCCTCATGTCATGTGTACTGCCAGTATAGATTCAGTCTCTTGAAAGCTATATAACTATGTTGTTGGCATAGTGATCATTTTCTTAATATATGATGACCTTAGTGAAGTCACAGATGTAGTGGACGACTTACATCGTGCTTACACTCTTCACATCCCTATAAAGACTTATTTTTCTAATGCTAAGACTTCCACCTAGTTCCTCATCAGTGTCTTTGTATGAGTTTCACAACTGAGCTAAAGCAGGAAATCTGTATTGATGGGTATTAATTTCATCATTTCCCTGACATACCTCTGAGTATGAAGAGAGTGTGAGAGAGTCAATCTTTATTAAAGGAAATGAGGACTCTTCTTTCTAGCTGTTTATGTTTCTTCCTCTGACATATGTTGTTATTGATGATTTGAAAAGCAAAACCCAAATTCTCCTTTCAGATCCATCCATCAATCCAGCCCTCAAAAATGATTTTACTACATCAATTATCAAACAATAAAATGCACATCTTATACATTGATCATATTTATGAAATCTTCATAAGGAAGATATTTTTGCTTTATACAGCAGAGAAAATGAACCTGGCTACCCATTAAAATCTTTCTCAAAATAAAACTTCTAAAATGTTGTGGAAAAATTAATTATGAAAATAGCAGCCATTGCCTACAATTAGGCTGTAGAATGGTCTTTGGATTAATTATTTGGTCATAATTCCTGAAACCTCAGAAGATGTGGTGCATCTTTGTGCATACACATACCTGAAATAAGAATATAGAATTTAAAAACAAATCTATGAGGAGAATTTTGTCTGAAAATTTTCTTTGAGGTTAATGGACTACTATTTTGATGTGTCAGTGAAGAATATAGTCTATATAAATTATTAAGGCAAACTTTCTTATTGTTGCATTCAAGAAGACAGTTAATTACATATTCAATTTATATCAAGGTTAATATAAGAAAACTACTGAACTGGAACCCATCAGAATGTACACTCAGTGTTCCAAGTTTTCAGCTACAAAACAACATATAACAAGATAACAAATTCTAATCTTTATTGTTTCCTTAAATTGCTGAACATGGAATTCAAACCCTTTGTCAGCCAAAGCTGAATT